TGGTGGCAGGTGCCTATAGTCCCATCTAGTTGGGAGGCTGAGGCAGATAATTGCGTGAACCTAGGAGGCGGAGGCTGCAGTGAGCTGAGATTGTACCACTGCACGCCAGCCTGGGCGACAGAGACTCCATCTAAAAAAAAAAAAAAAAAAAATCAGATTCAAAGACCATCACCATACGTATCACACAGGATCACAAGTGGCCCAGTCCAGGGCCAGTTAATTTAGCAGCTTCACAAAGTCATCAGTCCCCTGAGTTCCTTCTGTCTTCATCTACTGTGCCACCATCTCTTAGCTGTGTCATCTCCTGGTGCCAAAAGGGCTGCTACACACACAGCCATCACACAGATAATTCCTTTCAAAAACAGCAAAAAAGAGGCTTGTTCTTATCTTGGTCCCTTTCGAAGAATGAGCAAAACCTTCCTAAGCCTTCCAGCGACTTCCCCCCAAATCCAATTGGTAGGAATTACCACATACCCCTGTGGCCCCATAAGAGGCACAAGAAATGAGACTTTTGGGATTAGTTTAGCCTCAGATTCTGCAGTTGGGACGTTGATCAGCCGCCGCTGAAGGACATACAGCTTGCAGAACATTAGGGCAGTGTCCAAGGAAAAAAAGGGAAATAGCTTTAGGGTAGACAACAGGGATGCCCCGAGAGGTTGTCCAGGTTGTTCACTGCACAAAGGCCCTGGTCAAGAAGGCAAGTGGGGTTTAAACAGACGCAGAGTGTACTCATCAAACCAAGTGTCCTTGGCATTGTGTCCACGCAGAGAGCTCACTGTTTTCTAGTTAGTCCATCTGGAAGTGGACCCTTTTCCCAGTTTGCACAATGTGCCGTATTGGCTCAGAGCTGGCATGCATCCAGATCCCTCTGTCCCACCTCTTGAATCCTGGCTTCCTAGGGCCTGGGGTGGTCATCGCTGAGAACTCAGAGACCAGCCTGGCTCAGTGAATTTCAGAGCATTCCATATTCATTCTTTCAGTATATGTCAGGCCATGAAACCCCCCACAGCGTCCTTCCCTCTTAGAGGATGCAACCGTAACCATTACACAGACATCAAATAAGTAATATTTATTTACCCACCAGTGTGAACACAGTCATGGAGCGGGGTATTCCCAGCTACCAGCGAGGTTGAGGTGGGAGGATTCCTTGATGCCAGGAGTTCGAGACTGGAGCACGTGGTGATTGCACTTGTGAAGAGCCATTGCACTGCAGCCTGGGCAACCCAGTGAGACCGTGGCTCTTATAAATAAATAATAAACACACGCAATCATGACTTTGGGGATGGGAGAAGAGGTTCTCTGAGAGTTTATTACATGGGTATCACATGAACTCCAAAATACATCTTAAGCCAGGCATGGTGGCTTACGCCTGTAATCCCAGCACTTTGGGAGGCTAAGGCGAGCAGATCACCTGAAGTCAGGAGTTTGAGACCAGCCTGGGCAACATAGTGAAACCCCGTCTCTACTAAACATACGAAAACTTAGCCAGGCGTGGTGGCACACACCTGTAGTCCCAACTACTCAGAATTCTGAAACAGCAGAATTGTTTGAACCCGGGATACAGAGGTTGCAGTGAGTTGAGACCACACCATTGCACTCCAGCCTGGACAACAGAGTGAGACTCTGTTAAAAAAAAAAAAAAATCTTAGGAGTAGATGTAATTCTATCATGAGTCTGGATGAAAAAGGAAACTTTGGCCAGGTGCAATGGCTCATGCTTGTAATCCTAGCACTTTGGGAGGCCAAGGTGAGCAGATCACCTGAGGTCAGAGACCGGCCTGGCCAACATGGTGAAACCCCATCCCTACTCAAAATACAAAAATTAGCCAGGCGTGGTAGTGGGTGCCTGTAATCCCAGCTTCTCAGGAGGCTGAGGCAGGAGAATTGCTTGAACCCGGCAGACGGAGGTTGCAGTGAGCCGAGATGGCACCACTGCTCTCCAGCACTCCAGCTTGAGCGAAAGAGCAAGATTCTGTGTCAAATAATAAAATATACATATATATATATAATTGGTACAGGCCAGGTACAGTGGCTCATGCCTGTGATCCCAATAATTTGGGAGGCCAAGATGGGAGGATCGCTTGAGATCAGGAGTTCAAGACCAGCCTGGGCAACATAGGGAGACCCTGTCTCTACAAAAAAAACTGCCGGGCACAGTGGCTCACGCCTATAATCCCAGCACTTTGGGAGGCTGAGGTGGGTGGATCACAAGGTCAGGAGTTCAAGACCAGTCTGGCCAAGATGGTGAAACCCCGTCTCTACTAAAAATACAAAAATTAGCCAGGTGCATTGGTGGACACCTGTAATCCCAGCTACTCAGGAGGCTGAGGCAAGAGAATCACTTGAACCCTGGAGGCGGAGGTTGCGGTGAGCCGAGATCGCGCCATTACACTTTAACCTGGGCAACAGAGCAAGACTCCATCTCAAAATAAATAAATAAAATTGTAAAATTAAAAAAACTAGGTGTCTGCCGGGCGCGGTGGCTCAAGCCTGTAATCCCAGCACTTTGGGAGGCCGAGGCGGGTGGATCACGAGGTCAAGAGATCGAGACCATCCTGGTCAACACGGTGAAACCCCGTCTCTACTAAAAATACAAAAAAATTAGCTGGGCATGGTGGTGCGTGCCTGTAATCCCAGCTACTCAGGAGGCTGAGGCAGGAGAATTGCCTGAACCCAGGAGGCGGAGGTTGCGGTGAGCCGAGATCGCGCCATTGCACTCCAGCCTGGGTAACAAGAGCGAAACTCCGCCTCAAAAAACAAAACAAAACAAAAAACTAGGTGTGTTAGAATGCAGCTGTAGGACCGGCTACTCGGAAGGCTGAAGTGGGAAGATCAATTGAGCCCAGGAGTTCCGGGCTTCAATGAGTCATGATCACGCTTGTACATAGCACTGCGGTCCAGAGTAAGCAATATAGCAAGACCCCATCCCTAACAAAATTTTATAACATCAAAAAGACACGATTAGATCCTTTGGCAAGCAGTCATTATGGCTTACACCTGCAATCTTAGCACTTTGGGAGGCCAAGGCTGGTGGATCACTTGAGGTCAGGAGTTCGAGACCAGCCTGACCAACATGGTGAAACCCCATCTCTCCTAAAAATACAAAAATTAGCCAGGAGTGGTGGCACATACCTGTAATTCCAGCTACTCAGGAGGCTGAGTCAGGAAAATCGCTTAAACCCAGGGGGTGGAGGTTGCAGTGGGCTGAGATCTTACCACTGCACTCCAGCCTGGGCAACAGAGCAAAATCCTGCCAAAAAAAAAAAAAAAAGAAAAAGGAAGAAAGGAAGGAGGAGAAATATTTTTTCTGGTTTACACAATGAATGTGAATATGAATATATCCTTCTGGGGAGTATGTTTAGAAGATAAATTAGTAATTTTGGCATTTTGATATTAGTGGTCCTTTTCAGGCCCCACGATATAAATATCCACCTTCTGTTGAGATCGGGGGAAGCAGGAAGGCGCTGCTTGGGACTCCCCATCTGATCCGCCTTAGTCCAGCCCTGGTTTTCCTGAGGCAGGAGGGATGGATGAAGTCTTTGGAGAGGGGTTGGACGCTGGGCTGAGGCTTTAGGTGCAGACGCGCACCCCACCAACCCTGCTTCTGGCCTTGGCTCCCTGGGGCAGTGCAGGAACCAAGTACACCCGCAGCTCAACACTGCCCCCGTCTGGACGCAGCTGAGATGGGGACGGTGCAATGGAGGCAGGTGGGGTACTGGCTGAAACTGAAAGACAAGTGCCTGAGACACAGAGATTTGAGGGCAGGAATGGATGGGGATAAAGGGCAGGAGGGAGCTGGAGACACAGATAGGGAGGAGAGAACAGCCACAGAGCAAATCAGAGAGAGAACAGAGGAAGAGTTATGGAGGCAGAGGAAGACAGAACCGAGACAGAGTAACCTGAGTCAGGCAGAGGTGGGGACAGATTGATTTGGAGATCCATACAGTCAGAAAAGTCTCTTGGCCAGGAGCAGTGGCTCATGCCTGTATTCCCAGCACTTTGGGAGGCTAGGGTAGGAGGATCACTTGAGGTCAGGAGTTCAAGGCCAACCTGGGCATCATAGTGAAACTATGTCTCTACAAAAAATACAAAAGTGAGACCATCCTGGTCAACATGGTGAAACCCCGTCTCTACTAAAAATACAAAAATTAGCTGACATCTTGGCGCCTGTCCTGTAACCCCAGCTACTCGGGAGGCTGAGGCGGGAGGATCACTTGAACCCAGGGGGTGAAGGTTGCAGTGAGCCGGGATCGCCATTGCATTCCAGCCTGGACAACAAGAGCAAAGCTGTGTCTCAAAAAATAAAAATAAAAAAATTGCTGGGCATGGTGGTGTGTGCCTGTAGTCCCGGAAACTCCAGAGGCTGAGGTGGGAGGATCACTTGAGTCTGAGAGGTTGAGGCAATAATTTTGCCACTGCACTCCAGCCTGGGCAAAAGAGCAACACCCCATCTCAAAAAAGTTTTTTTTTTTTTTTCATTGACAGGGGTCTCACTATGTTGCCCAGGCTGTTCTGGGAACTTCTGGCCTCAAGCGATCCTCCTGCCTTGACCTCCCAAAGTGCTGGGATTACAGGTGTGAGCCACAGTTCCCAGCCTAAATCTGAATTTTTTTTCATGTGGACTAAGTTATGACATGCCGAATCTGATTTCAATCCCCACTCCAGCAACCCCATCTGTCTGACACTGAGCATATCACTCCCTTTCTCTAACCTTCAGTTACCTTATCTGGAAAGTGACATAGAACATTGCCTTTGCCTCATGGTAATACGAATTTGTTCCCTCCCTTTATTATTTATTTATTTATTTAGAGACAGAGTCTTACTCTGTCACCCAGGCTGGAGTGCAGTGGCGAGATCTCGGCTCACTGCAAGATCCGCCTCCCGGGTTCAAGTGATTCTCCTGCCTTAGCCTCCCGAGTGGGTGGGACTACAGGTGCACACCATCACACCTGGCTAATTGTTTTGTATTGTTAGTAGAGACAGGGTTTTGCCATGTTAGGCTGGTTTCGAACTCCTGACCTCACATGATCTGCCAGCCTGACCTCCCAAAGTGTTGGGATTACAGGCGTGAGTCACCACGTCCGACTGCTTTCCCTTTTGATTGTGGATCTCTTGCACCCACCAGAGTGCAAAGCAGAATCGCCCATCGGCAGCTAATAATGGTGGCTGACATTTACTGGCGTATGCCTATACCAGGTTCGGTTTGTGGACAATCTCAGTGAACAGAATCACCCGCACCGGGCTGCAGTACAGATATGGAAACTGAGAACAGGGCAAGGGGACGTCCCTGGTTCCAGGTCGTATTGCACATGCCTGGTCGACTGTTCTTTCCCACCTGCAGGGAACAGTGCTGGAGGCCCTCAGATTCCTCTTCCCAGTTCTGTGCACGCAGCCCCAAGCTTGTGTGCTTGGCATATTAATCATGCCTTTGTGCCAGGCATGGTGGCTTATGTCTGTAATCCCAGCACGTTGGGAGGCAGAGGCAGGTGGATCACCTGAGGTCAGGGGTTCAAGACCAGCCTGGCCAACATGGTGAAACCTGTCTCTACTAAAAATACTAAAGTTTGCTAGGCGTGGTGGCACGCACCTCTAGTCCCAGCTACTCTGGAGGCTGAGGCAGGAGAATCGCTTGAACCCGGGAGGCAGAGGTTGCAGTGAGCTGAGATCGCGCCACTGCACTCCAGCCTGGGTGAGAGAGAGAGACTCTGTCTCAAAATAATAACACCTTTGTATTTTCTGAACTTCTGCTGCTTTGCTCTGTGGGGGCCTTGCTGACTCTGGAGAGACTGACCCTCCCAGGGATAGCCAAATGCTAGAGGTAGTTAACTACTCACCTTTCCCATGCAAACCAGCCAATCCAGAGCCCACACGTCAGCCACACCACACCTTTATGAGCACGGGCTCCCTGAGCTGCTGTCTACCTGCGCTAATTACCCCCGGGCCAGGTACCCAAAACTCGGAACAGCCTCCATGCTCCAGGGCCTACTGAAATTCAAACTAGGTAATTTCAAACCTGCTTACCTCGCCTCTTCCGTTTTTTGTTTGTTTCTTTGTTTTGGGGGGTTTTTTTTTTTGAGACTGAGTCTCATTCTGTTGCCCAGGTGGGAGTTCAGGCGTGATCTCGGCTCACAGCAACCCCCACATCCAGGGTTCAAGTGATTCTCCTGCCTCAGCCTCCTGAGTAGCTAGGACTACAGGCGTACACCACCATGGCCCGCTAATTTTATTTTATTTATTTATTTATTTTTGTATTTTTAGTAGAGACGGGATTTCACCATATTGGCTGGACTGGTCTCGAACTTCTGACCTCAGGTGATCCACCTGCTTTGCTTCCCAAAGTACTAAAGTTACAGGCATGAGCCACCGCAACTGGCCTTTTTTTTTTTTTTTTTTTTTTTTTTTTTTTTTTTTTTTTTTTTTTTTTTTTTTTTTTTTTTAGGATCTCGCTCTGTTGCCCAGGCTGGAGTGCAATGGTGCAATCATAGCTCACTGCAACCTCAAACCCCCAGGCTCAAGTGATCCTCCTGTCTCCGCCTCCAGAGTAGCTGGGACTGCAGGTATGAACCATGGTGCCCAGCCCTGAAACCTACATTTGAAAACATTTTGCTGCTAACAACTTGCCCTATGACGTTCTTCCCAGGACTGCTGTTGGGCTGGAATGCCTGAGGGTTAAATCATTCTTCCCTCCCTCCGTCACCCATGGCCCAGGACTGACTAGGGGTGGTATAGTGGTAAGTCTCCAAATATAGCCCCTAGAGAGCATGCCCCAGATATTCACAGATTTGTATAGTCCCCTCCCATATGTAATCTGGGCTTGCCTGACTTCCATTAATTATAAAATATAGTGGAAGAGAAATTGTGCTGTGTTAACCTACCCTGTGTTAGCCTGACAGACTCCATGTTAACCTCTACCTCACTCCTCCCGCCATTTCTCCCATGAGTGCCTAGGTCATGCTACTGTGCTGGGTCGTGCCGTGCTGAGAACTATAGAGGCATATAACCATTGTAAACCTATCCTGCTTGGCAAGCCCACTTGATATTGTGAATACCTCCTTGATTGATTGTACGGCAAGTACCGAATACCCCCCTTGGTAACCAACAATCATGGGAGCCTCCTGCCTCCTGGTTACCAGCCTCCTTGTCTAACTTGCTTGTTCTGCTTCTGCAACTTCTTCAGCTAGGCTCCCCCTCCCCTTTCTTAAGCAAGGTATAAAAAGGAATAAAGCCCCTTTCTCGAGGCCGAGGCATTTTGAGCACGAGCTGACTGTGGGTCGCTGGCAGTAAAGGACTCTCAATTGGAACTCGGTTAGTAGGGCACTTTCCTTCTGTCTCGCTAGGGTATAACAGTACCAGTTCCAAGCCTAGTCTTTCAGAGACTGGCAGCTTCTGTTCCCTCCTCTTGGAATACTCACTCTTAGGAGCCCTGAGATATCATGCAAGTCTAGTTACCCTGATGGAGAGGCCACAGAGGGCCAGCACTGACACTGCATAGAGAATGAGAGAAGTTCAGCTGTCCCCACAACCCAGCTGGACCCAGCCTTCATGCTGTTGGCACCATGGTGCCATGTTGAGAAATGCTGAGTATATGATGGAATGTATTGTTTGTTAGAAAGAACGATAGCAGGCGCGGTGGCTCACGCCTGTAATCCCAGCAGCTTGAGAGGCTGAGGCAGGTGGATCACGAGGTCAGGAGTTCAAGACCAGACTGGCCAACATGGTGAAACCCTGTCCCTACTAAAAAATACAAAAATTAGCTGGGCATGGTGGCTCATGCCTGTGATCCTAGCTACTTAGGGGGCTGAGGTAGGAGAATTGCTTGAACTGGGACCCTGGAGGCGGAGGTTGCAGTGAGCCGAGATTGTTATCACTGCACTCCAGCCTGGGCTACAGAATGAGACTCCATTTAAAAAAAAAAAAAAAAGGCTACTGACAAAACAGCCCTGAGGGCTGCTGGTTGCCTACTTTTTAAAAATTAAAGTTGTCAGGAAAAAAAAAAAAAAACGATAGCAAGGGAAACCTAGCTACCCCTCCCCCCAAGTAGAAAACTACTTGGGGCATTCTAAAGTGGCAGGACAATGTATCAATATCGTATACCAGTTAAAACAATTATTTAAGCTCGGAACATCTGACCCTGCCCCCGTGGCTCCCTCGTGGACAACACTTTTTAGTTTGTCTGTGGTCAGTGGTAAGTGAGCACCAGCTGCCTACCTGGCAGATTTTGTTGTGAGAAAATACCGAACACCTGCTTGTTAATAATGAGCACCTGTTCAGAGAGAATAAATGCGTGGATCAGCGTCTGCGCGAGCTTTCAGCTCAGAATGCTGTCAGCCCCTGGGTCTCTCAGTTCGGAAGGCTGTTGGCCCCCACCCCACCCCCTGATAGATCCACTTTGCTGTTTTATCTTCGTATCTGCTTCTCAATTCCTTCAGTGCCACCAGGGCAGGCGTCTCTAGAGCCAGGCTGGACTAGGTAGTGCTGCACACATCTGAGTGCACCATCTTGGCTGTGCCAGCTCAGTTGGGCCCTGAGATGACTGCAGCTCTAGCCAGCATCACATGGGACTGAAGAACCACCCTGCTGAGCCTAGTCCACCTGTGCATTTGTGAACAGAGAGTTACTCTTTTACAACTCTAAGTTTTGGGGTGGTGTGGGTTTTTGTTGCTTGTTTAGAGATGGAGTATCACTCTGTTGCCAGGCTGGAGTGAAGTGTCATGATCTCAGCTCACTGCAACCTCCACTTCCTGGTTTCAAGCAACTCTCCTACCTTGACCTGTCAAGTAGCTGGGATTACAGTCTCCCACCACCACGCCCGGCTAATTTTTTTTTGTAGTTTTGGTAGAGACAGGGTTTCGCCATGTTTGCCAGGCTGATCTTAAACTCTTGGCCTCAAGTGATCTGCCTGTCTCGGCCTTTCCAAGTGCTGGAATTACAGGTGTGAGCCACTGAGTCTGGCCTGGGGCTATAATCTCAAACAGGAAGATACAAAGGCCCAGTTCCGTGTGTCCCAAGATGGGAAAGACTCCGCAACTTAATTTGTGCCCTGGAGCTCCCCAAAGGATTAGGCTGAGGTTGAAACCTCACTTGAAGTCACCTCCTGCTCCTCTTCCCCTTTGCTGTCCTGTTTTCCCCACTCTTCTACTGGTTTCTCCTGGGAACACTTTTTTTCTGAGTTTTGAGTTTTGTTCCTCTTGCCTAGGCTGGAGTGCAATGTGACGATCTTGGCTCACCGCAACCTACGTGTTCCAGGTTCAAGTGCTTCTCCTACCTGAGCTTCCCAAGTATGTGGGATTCCAGGCATGTCCCACCATGCCCAGCTAATTTTTTATTTTTATTTTTGGTAGAGACAGGGTTTCACCATGTTGGCCAGCTGGTCTCAAACTTCTGACCTCAGGTGATCCACCCACCTCGGCCTCCCAAAGTGCTGGGATTATAGGCATGAGCCACTGCACTGGCTGGAATACTTTTTTTTTTTTTTTTTTTTTTTTTAAGATGGAGTCTTGCTCTGTTGACCAGGCTGGAGTGCAGTGGCACAATCTCGGCTCACTGCAACCTCCGCCTCCCAGGTTCAAGTGATTCTCCTGCCTCAGCCTCCCAAGTAGCTGGGACTACAGGTGCGTGCCACCAGGCCTAGCTAATTTTTATAATTTTAGTAGAGACGGGGTTTCACCTTGTTGACAAGGATGGTCTTAATCTCTTGACCTCGTGATCCACCAGCCTCGGCCTCCCAAAGTGCTGGGAGCCACCACACCCAGCTGAACACTTCTTTAATAAATCACTGGCATTTATATCTTGCCTCAGGCTCTGCTTCCAAGAGAAGCTGATCTTAGACCAGATGTTTCTAATATTTTCATCTCCAACCAGAACCCTGGGGGATCAAGTTCTTGCTCCCCATTCTCCCCCCACTCTTTCTTGCTTCTCTCCTGTATCCAAAAGGCATAACCACTCTCCAGGCCCGCCAGACAATAGGCAGCCATCTACTGGGGGTGGGGACATGTAAAAACATCCATGAGGTCTCCGAAAGAAGCAACAAGCAGCTTGTTTGCCGTGGCCAGCAGCAAAAGAAGCCCCCCAGCCGTACAACCCTGGAGGGGGATCATAAGGAGGCCAGGTAGGCAAAGTTCAGGCAGTTGCGGTCAGCAGCACTTCAGGAGGCAGGTGGGGCGGGAGGTTGCCTCCAATTCTGTGTCTGCGGTAGGAGGGGCTCTGCTGGTCCTTCCCTCTCCTCCCCCAGGGAGCTTCTCTCCACCCCCACCAGTTCTCTGTTTCTGGAAACCCCCAATCCATCACCACGGGTCCTCCAGCAGGTCCCACAGCCGGCTACTGCCGGAGTCAGATAAGTCAGCAGAGAAGATGCTGGGGGCTGGGGGACCAGAACCCAGGGGAGGACCCCCACTCAGGGCCTCCAGCCAGTCCAGGGAGTCCGTAGGGTCCCTGGGAGAAGGGGAGGAGGAGTTCGTAGGGGACGGGAGTGAAGAGGAGAAAACAGATGAGAGGCCTTCTGAGTCCGGGGAGGGAGACAGCACGTCGAAGGAGCCAGGGAAGTCCAGGGGGATGGGAGGCAGGGGGTCTGCGGGATAAAGAATGATACGTGAGCTTGGAAAGGGATCCGGGTGCCAGCCCCCCATACCCCATTTCTAGGAGTCCAGCTCCCCGCCCCACGCCTCCCGCGGACGCAGGAGTCCAGAACTTCAAGGCCCATCTCCCCTAAATCTAGGAGTTCGGATCATACCAACAGGCTCCACCTGATCCTCCAGGATGTCATCGATGCCCCGGTTCGGAAGCAACTGCGGATGGGAAAATTTGGCATGAACTCGGGACTCTGACCTGGGCTTGACTGGAGACCCCTAGCACGGATTCGACCTGCACCCTCTTACCTGCGCCCTCCGGATTGCCTCCTGCAGCTCCTCCTCCAGAGTCAGAGCCACGGAGGCCGGCGCGGAGGAAGGGGTCAGGGCTGGAGCTGCAGCCAGAGCCGTAGTTGGAGTTGGAGCTGGAGCCGTCCCCGGGGTATCCGCGGCACGTGGAAGAGATGGCAGGTGAGATGCTGCGCTGGGCTTGACCTAGAACCGCCGAGTGGACGGGCTCCCGTAAGCCACGCCCACCTGGCGCAACCCCACCCACTCGCCACATGGGGCTCCGCCCCTTGGTCCTCTCGCCGCCCCTTGCTCCTCAACCCCTCCTTTGGCCTCGCCCCCTATTCTTTCATTGTCTCCTCTTCCCTAAAGATCCGCCTTCTGTTGATCTGAACCACGCCCCCTCGCCTTCAAGGCGTCCCACCGCTAGGCCACGCCCCCATGCTTCATTGGCTAGTTTTTTCGACTCCCCGCCCTGTCCCACTTTGCTTTCTCTTTATTGGTTCACACACGCATAACCCCGCCCTCACCGAGCTCGGCCGCCGGGCGGCTGCCAGGGCCTTGGGCCTGAGGCGCGGCCAGGGAGCACCCGCGGGACTGTCCTCGCGCCGCGGCTTTGGCCGCTCGCGGGGCGGGGCGCCACCGCGCATGCGCTCCAGGAGCATAGACTTGGTCCCCGACACCGGGAGGCCCCGCAGGCGCAGCTGCTGCCGGAGCTCTGAGACCTGGGGAGGAGGGGTGGGAGAGGCGGTGCTGGGCGAACTCCGGGCGCAGGCGGGGGCCGGGACGGGATGTTTGGAAACAGAAAGGCACTGGTGGTCTGGGGGGGGCCGTCTGGACTCCTGGGACCCTAAAACAGGATGGGACTAGGTACCCGACCTCCTGGATTTGCAGCGGGTGGAGGCTGCGGGGTTGGATTTCTGGGACCCCACCGAGGGAGAGAAGCAGCCTGGAAAGTTATACCCCGAACTCACCGTCAGCTCCTCCAGTTTAAGGGTCTGGAGTTCCAACTTGTGTGGAGGGGGCGAGGGTCTGGGGACTCCTGGTGGGCGGGGAATGAGGGGAGTGGGCTTCATCCTGGCGACAATCGTGAGGGGTGAGCAAAGGTTAGAGGGGCATGGGGGGAGGCGTTCTGGGGTCCTCAAACCCAAAAGTTAGTGGGCTAGAGAAGATGCAGAAAAGTGGGGGCCCAGCATTTTGGGTCTCCGAGGGCGCAAACATGGGGCTAGATTTCTGTGCACAGGGGAGAAGGAACTGGGGGCTCAGACTCGGGTCTGAAGGACGAGGGCCTGGGATCCTGGACTCTTAAACCTTGGGGGAGGAGGGGGATTTGGGGCCCGACTCCCTTGGTCTTGGACTCTAGGTTTGAGGCAGGAGGATGCTGGGACCTGGATTTTGGGCCCCGGGAGAAGGGAAATGGGTGTCATACCTAGGATGTGGCTGCTGTGAGTCTGTCCCTTCCCACAGAGGTGGCCCCGGAGGACCCAGGGCGGACCTCTCGGCTTGGGGGCCAGTCCTGGCTCCCTGTCTGGGCTCTGGGGGCATGTACTGGTGGTATGTCAAGTTCCCCCTGGGCTTGGACTCCCTCCACCGTTGGGAGGTCTTGGGAGACTCCTGAAAGAGCAGGTATCATGTGCTGGGCCTCAGTGCAGCTCTGGCCTTCCTGCCTCTCCCCCACCCACACCCCCGGGGCTACATGCCAAGTATGGGATCAGCTCCGTGCCCCCAAAGAAGATCAAAAATGGCAGCAGTAGCAAGGGGAACAGAGGGACCTCTCCCTCCAGTCCAGACTCACCTTCTTTGGGGACCTCCAAGGAGGACAGGATTCGGGCTCAGGGAGCAGAATCCCAGGGCTGAAGAGGAAAGGGGCCGTGCCCGAGGGCAAGGCCGGGGCTAGAGCAGGGCTGGAGGCTGAGATCCACGGGTCAGGATCCGAGACTGGAGAGATGGGTGAAGGACCCTGAGAGGCCCGCAGGCAGCCAGCCAGGCGGGGAGGAGCAGGGCTGTGTGGAAAGCGGGGCCCCAGGGTGCAGGAGGGCAGGCCAGGGAGCAGGACCTGAGTGCTGGGAGTTGGGCGCCGAGACTGTAGATCTGAGGGTGGAGGTGTAGGGGCCCTGGTTGTTACATTCTGAAGTAAAGCAGGAATTTTCTATCACAAAGGGGTGTGGTAGCCGAGGATCCCAGATGTCTGAGGTTTTGCTAGGACAGGGGTGGGGCCTGCATGCCGGGCTATTGGAGAGAGGGAGAAGCTGAAAGCTACATCCAGGCGGTGGCTCATGCCTGTAATCCCAGCACTTTGGAGGCTGAGGTTGGTGGATCACTTGTGGTCAGGAGTTCGAGACCAGCCTGGCCAACATGGTGAAAACCCGTCTCTACTAAAAATATGAAAATTAGCCAGGTGTGGTGGCAGGCGCCTGTAATCCCAGCTCCTCAAAGGAGGCTGAGGCAGGATAATGGCTTGAACCTGAGAAGGGCAGGTTGCAGTGAGCTGAGGTCAAACCACTGTACTCCACCCTGGTGACAGAGTGAGACTCCATCTCAGCTTCTCGTGTATACCAAATGTGGCGACTGGGATGCCTGTCTTCTCTAAAGAAGCAGGATCCAAACTCCTGCGTCTCACTGGGGTGGAGAATCGGGAAGCAGAGCTCCTAGGGGTGGGGGTGGCCAGGGACCTGGACCCCTGGATCCTTGGGAAAGGACTGGATGGGGTTTTGGTTTCTCCCAGGGGATAGGGACTGAGCTGCAGTAACCAATGAGGGATATCCCTGTGAAGGGGGATCACCATCCCCTCCCTTTAAGGGCCCACACTTACTCTGCTCCTGATTCCGTCTGTGGATCCGAAGCTGGAGGACTGTGGAGGGGAGGAGGGAGGTGGAAGGTGGGAGGAGGAAGGCGGGAAGGGAGTGTCCAGGAGCCTGGCCTTGGCAGGGAGGTGGGAGCTGCAGTTGGCGGGACACGCGTGCCCAGCCTCCTTACACAGTCCTTGCAAGCGGGTGGGCGGGCAGCACGCTCCCTTCCTTGGGCCTCCCGCTTGTTCCCTGCCAGCACAGCGCCTCGGGCCAGCACCACTGTGGGGCTACGAGCCAGCCAGCCAGCATGCAGGCAGGCGGCAGCCCTGCCCCCAGCTCCACCTGCCCCCTCCATGAGCAAGCGTGTGCCCACCCCACCCCCTGTGCAGTTGCCATCTTGGCAGCCTGAGCCCTTTGCACCTCGCCTCCCCTTACCCATGCAGTGCTGCTACTTTCTTTCTGCCGTATCTCAGGGCCTTCCCACAGTCAACACTCTCTGATTGTCCACATTTTAAATATGCATGTCTCTGGGCTCTAGTTTGGCACACATGCCATTTTTCTGGCGCCAGGCTGGAGGCAATGGCACGATCGGCTCACTGCAACCTCCACCTCCTGGGTTGAAGCGATTCTTCTGCCTCAGTCTCCTGAGTAGTTGGGACTACAGGTGCACGACACCACACCCAGCTAATTTTTTTCTGTGTTTTTAGTAGAGACAGGGTTTCAAGTTGTTGGGCAGGATAGTCTTGATCTTTTGAGCTCATAATCCACCTGCCTCATCCTCCAAAAGTGCTGGAATTACAGGCGTGAGCCACCATGCCTGGCCGGCTTCTATGTTAACACTTTTAACCTTTTTTTTTTTTTTTTTTTTTTGGGTTTCACCATGATGGCCAGGCTAGTCTTGAACTCCTGACCTCAGGTGATCCACCCACCCCAGCCTCCCAAAGTGCTAGGATTACAGGCGTGAGCCACCACGCCCGGCCCACTTTTTCCCTTTTTAAAAATTTGTTTTATTTTTTCTAGAGACAGGGTCTCACTCTGTAGCCCAGGCTGGAGCGCACTGGCACGATCATGGCTCACTGCAGCCTTCAACTCCTGGCCTAACCCATCCTCCCAACTTCCTCTTGAGTCCCTGGGACTGCAAACATGTACCACTACAGCGAGCTAAATTGTTTTGTTTTGATTTTTTGGTAGAGAAAGGGTTTTGCTGCTGTGTTGCCCAGGATGAATGTCGACTATCTTTTTTTTTTTTTTTTTTTTTTTTTTTTTTTTGAGACAGAGTCTCACTCTGCCACCCAGGTTGGAGTACGGTGTCGCGATCCCTGCTCGCTGCAACCTCCACCTCCCAGTTTCAAGTGATTCTCCTGCCTCAGCATCCCAAGTAGCTGGGATTACAGGTGCCTGCGATCACACCATACTAATTTGTCTTTTTCTTTTTTTTTTGGAGACTGTCTCGCTGTGTCACCCAGGCTGGAGTGCAGTGGTGCGATCTCAGCTCACTACAACCTCTGACTCTCGGGTTCAAGCAGTTCTCCTGCTGCAGCTTCCCGAGTAGCTGGGACTATAGGCACGCACCACCATGCCCAGCTAATTTTTTGTATTTTAGTACAGATAGAGTTTTACCATGTTGCCTAGGCTGGTCTTGAACTCCTGAGCTCAGGCAATCCGCCCACCTCGGCCTCCCAAAGTGCTTGGATTACAGGTATGAGCAACCACGCCCAGCGTCAATTTTTTGTATTTTTAGTAGAGGAGGTGTTTTGTCATATTGGACAGGCTGGTCTTGAACTCCTGACCCCAGGTGATCCACTGCCTTGGCCTCCCAAAATGCTGGAATTACAGGCATGAGCCACTGTGTCCGGCCGGGTGAATTTTAACTATCTTATTGCACACTCAAGGTTTGTCCCCCAGTTTGGGAGCAAGGATCTGTCTGCACATTTCTGCTCTTCTCTTGACATATGCCCCTTTTGTGTGTGTGTGTGTGTGTGTGTGACAGTGTCACCCTGTCACCCAAACTGGAGTGCAATGGCACAATCTTGGCTCACTGCAGCTTCCACCTCCCAAGTTCAAGTGATTCTCCTGCCTCAACCTCATGAGTAGCTGAAATTACAGGCCCTGGTCACCATGCCCAGCTAATTTTTTGTATCTTCCGTAGAGAGGTTTCACCATGTTGGCCAGCCTGGTCTCGAACTCCTGACCTCGTGATCCGCCCACTTCAGCCTCCCCAAGTGCTGAGCTTACAAGGGTGAGTCACCGCGCCCGGCCTGGACATAGGCAGCTTTTTGCACACTGCTTGCTCTTTGGTGACTGGCGTCTTTGCACCCATCCAACCGCACAGGCATACTGAGTTGTACACTCATGTACCCTTTGCCTTCTCAGGAACTGACCTCTAGTTCAAAACACTTGCATAGTTTTTGCCTGCCCTGGGACCAAAAGCAAGACCTTTGACGCTTTGCTTGACAGCTCATTGTCCCCTCACCCAAACTCTCACACTGCTCATCTGAAGTCCCTCCTTTGCTCTTCAGCCTCTGCACATGCACCAGTGTTAAGCCCTCGTTCCGGAGTCCTTGAACCCTCTGCTCGCCCACCCCTGGCCGCCAATCCCCATTGCTCCCGTGAGCATGGCACTCGCCACTGACACACTGTTGGATCCACCACAGCTCGACCCCTGTGCTGGGGCCTCCTTTATGCAAAGTGACCTTTTGCACACACAAAAAACATGCCTCACGGGTCCCACCACCCCTCCCACCTGAGGACAGCATTCTCAGGATCCCATCCCCCATGCGTGAAGAGAGCCCTCTCTCACCAGATCGGAACTTGGAGCGAATGAATTGGGAACGCTGGGAGGAAGCTGCCAGGGTCATTGCCAAGGCCGGGATGGGGACCTGGATGGAGGTGGGGGAGGGCAGGGGCCCCACAGAGGGCAGGCTCAGAGGGGAGGTCAGGAGGCTGTCTCTGTGAGTGAGTTTAGCAGGGAAAGGGCCCAATGGAGGTGGGACAGGAGTAGCTTTGGGTCATAACTTCTGGAGCCCAGGGGCTGCAGAGGCGAGGGCTGTGGACCCTGACACCTTACTCTGAGGGAGGAGGAAGGGGGGAACCCAGAACCCTGGTGTGACAGGGGCTGAGGGCCTCAACTCCTGGATCCTGGGAGGGGAGGGACCTGCTATCTGGGACTCCTGGATCCTGAGGCGGAGGGCATCCTGGGTGGGGACCCCTGCGTCTAGGAAAGGAAGGACGCAGCAGGGCTGGACTCCCGAATTTTGAAGGAGAAGGAGGTTAAGGGCTGAAACCCAATACTCTGAGACCGGAATTCAAGAACCTGGGTGGAGAGGGGAACGGGGCCCTGACAGGTTTCTGAGGAACAGAAGGCTTCCCTGTGCCCTGTATCTGAGAAGGAGTGGGGTGTCAGCCACCGGCGTGGCTGGGGAAGGGACTGGGACCACATAGGGGACAGAGGAGGAGAGCGCCCCCCGTCCACCCCAGGGGCTTCTCACCAGATGGGCTCGGCGAAGCTGTGCTCTGGGGAGGGTTGAGTCTAAAAGCCGAGTCTGGACACCGCAGGCTCCGCCTACTAGCCTGGGACCGCCTCCGCCCCACCTTCCTGGGGTGTGCCGGGAGCCCCGCGGGGGACCCTGAGAAGGGGGGGAGAACCCACTGGGAGGGCCTGAGTGGGCCTGTGGGGGGGGATGCTGGGAGGTGGAAAGGGGGGGTTCCCCGGCTCACTAGTGCTGCGCGTCCTGGGGCTGTGGGATCGGGTGGAGCGGCGGCAGGACTGACAGAAGCAGGTGCCCGCAGAGGGGTGCCGCCTGAGCAGCAGCGGCAGGTGGTCGTGTCCCAGCCCTGCCGGCAGGTGCCACCTGTCGCCTGCATTTTCCCTGACGCAGCAACAGGAGTCAAGTTCAGGGGAGTGAAAAGTTCAAACTTGGGGCCCAGATTCCTGGATCCAACAAAGGAGAGGGATGGGGACTTGGACTCCAGGGTTTGAAGAAATAGAGGCAGGAGCCTGGACTCTGGGGATGCTGGGAACAAGGACAGAGGGGTTGACCGGCAGGTAGACAGGTCCCGAGGGGTTTGGAGACTCCGATTCCTGGTGGGGGGGTGGACTACGGATTGGCGCGGGGTGGGAGGGAAGAGATCGCTGGTTCCCACTGGGAGGACTGAGGGCTTAATAATCGGCAGAGCAAGCTTGGGGCTGTGTCCTGATGGGTGTGGGTGGCTCCAGTGCTCTGGGGTTGGATTACATGCAAAAGGGTGAGCCAAGGCCGTGGCTATAAATACCTCCTCGGACTCTGCGGGGGCCCAGATAAAGCCCTGCAACGTTGTTCTGCAGAAAAGTCATGAGCGCCCCTGCGTCTTAACGGAGGCGCTGCCGCTACCACAAATACCTTTATTACTTCTTGGTATTCACATCCTAAGCCCAAGCTCCCACCGCCCCATCCGCTACTGCCCGAAAACTCAATCCCCAGCAGTTCGCGCGAGATAAAAACCACAACTCCCAGAAAGCTCTGCGCCCTTTCAACGTGCGCGCGCTCGTCTGCTATTGGTCTTCAAGGAGGCGTGACCACAGGAGGCCCGTGGCGATAATTGGCTGGCAGCTCCTGCTGCTCAAGGTCCCAGAGGAGGCGACGGAGCCGGCGCAGTTCTCGGTGCAAAGCGTCGTCCGTCACTGGACCACTAAGGCGCAGGCGCGAGCTCCCCAGGGGCAGGATGAGGGGCGGGTGCGAGGAGAAGCTTTCGAAGATATCCCCTGTGAGGCCGAAGATGATGGAGTTAGAGTCAAAGTGGGCTGAGGGGTTGCGTCACAACCCTAGGAAACGGAAACTTCAAATCCCAGCAACGGGGGATTTGAAGGCAGGGTCCGTTCACACGTGACTCTCGGAGCCCCAGGGCATGATGGGAGTTATAGAACCAGCTTCCCAGATCTTTGAGAAAGGGCTAGAATTTACCTTACAGATTCTTAAAGTTGGAAGGACCCGAGACCTGGATTCCTGGGGTGGAGGGAAGGGACAAGGGAAGCGAAACCCTGAGAATAAAGGGAGCTGGATCCTGCAATTAAGTCCTGGAGGAGAGGAACACGGGTCCAGAACCTGGGATTATGGATTTCTAGGTCCTGAGAAAAAGAGCGCTGACAGTTCCTCACCTGTGTCCACAGCTTCCCGCTCTGCAGGGGCAGGGTCCCAGGCCGATGGTGGCCCACGCCCAGGGCCGAGCTGGTAGTGGCTGAGTAGATGGTGCAGCTGGGCGGGGGTCAAGGTGGGGTGCTCGGTTCTTAAGCTGTTCCATGAAGCCTGGTGGGAAAATCAGGTGAGAGGGCGATAGTCATTATGGGGCAACTGAGAAATGGAAGGATTGCCTTACAGGGAGTGGGAATGACAGGGAGGTAATGGCATCTCTGCAGTGTCTTTCAGGTACGGGGAAGTCTGTCACCAAAATGAGGGTGGGGAAGGGTATACGCCCAGCAATTTTTAAAAATGGCATTTGCCTCGGGATACATGAGGATACAGGAGAGGAGTAGGGGTAGCAAAACAAGATTGACCATTCCTTCATATTACTGAAGCTGATGATGGTACTTGGGATTCATCCCTTTTTTTTGGTCCTTAAAGAAACAGACTCGCACTCTTGCCCAAGCTGAAGTGCAAGGGCATCATTGCTGCAGCCTCATTTGTATCAACTGTTTATAGTGGGCTGGGTGTGGTTGCTCCTGCCTGTAATCCCAGCATTCTGGGAGCCAGACGTGGGAGGTTCACTTGAGCCCAGGCAGTAGAGGCTGCAGTGAGTCACTACGCTCCAGCATGGGTGCTAAAGCAAGACCCTGTCTCAAAAGAAAGTTTACGGTGCAGTGGCGCCTGCCTGTAATCACAGCACTTTGGGAGGATTGCTTGAGGCCACCCTGGGCAGCAGAGTGAGATTCTGTCTCTACAAAAAAAAATTAACCAGGTGTGAGGGCACGTGCCTGTAGTCCCAGCTACCCAGGAGGCTGTGGCCAAAGATCACTTGGGCTTAGGAGTTGGAATATCTATGGGAACAGTTTTTGTAACATATTTAAAAACAAAGCAAAAGAAAAATCGAATTGTCCTGAATCTGTTTCCTTCTCTGAAAAATGGTAACCTGTCACCCCGGCCAGGGTGCAGTGGTGTGACCTCAGCTCACTGCAACCTCCGCCTTCTGGGTTCAAGCAATACTCCCCCCTCAAACTCCCTCGTAGCTTGAACTACAAGTGTGCACCACCAGGCCCTGCTTTTTGTATTTATTAGTAGGGATGAGGTTTCACCATAAGGGCCAGGCTGGTCTCTTAACGCCTGACCTTGTGATCTGCCTGCCTTGGCCTTCCAAAGTGCAGGGATTACAGGCATGAGCCACCGCACCCAGCCTAAAAGAATGTTTCAACCATCATATTCCTTGGTCTCATACCAGACTTCCTGACTCACATGTCTGAGGGAGGGACCCTGGAAACTTGAGACAGAGTCTCACTCTGTCGCCCAGGCTGGAGTGCAGTGGTGCAGTCTCAGCCTCCTGAGTAACTGGGATTACAGGTGGGCACCAGCACACCTGGCTAATTTTTATATTTTTAGTAGAAATGGGGTTTTGCCATGTTGGCCAGGCTGGTCTCACACTCCTGGCCTCAAGTGATCCATCCCACCTAGGCCTCCCGAAGCGTTAGGATTACAGGCACGAACCAACGCACCCAGCCTGGCAGCTATTCAGACACAGCCAGGTTTGGTCATTGTTGGTGCTAGCTTCCTTCTAGCTGCCAATGTGTTACCCACAGTGTCTGAGCCGAGGCTGGGGATGGCATAGGGAGCTCCAAGGGTGAACTGAATACAGAAAGTGGCTGAGGGGGGTTCAGAGGTCAGGTACAGCTGACCGGGAGTTACCTTGAGCAGGGAAGTACGGGGCACACAGAGCAGGTTCACAGCCATGGAGAGTTTCCGGAAGAACTCGGTGGCAATGTCGCCCAGCCCAGCTCCCTGGAGCCAGTCCAAGACAAGGTCCAGGTTGGTTCGGATTTGAACAGCTCGGGACCATTGATAGAAAGGCCGTCCTTGTCCTGTGGGCATGAAGGGTATGAGAGGCAGTTGGTTGGCTGGACTCTGTTCTCCTGCCCCCCAGACTGTTCCTATCCCTCGGCCTGGGATCTGGAGCTTGTTCTCCAGGGTACCCAAAGGTGAGGCCGGAGCCCATGGTGTGTCTAATTTGACCTAAGCCTCAGTGGCTCCCATCTTTGCCTCCCTGACACCTCCCAGCCAACCTTCACCTCGTTCCATCAGCGAGTTGAGAAGGGATGCGTTCGAGAAGAAGAACAAGTAGCCGAAGGTCTGAGACACGAGGTCAGGGTGCAGCTCGCACTGGTTGGTCAGTTCCAGGGCTGCCTGGAACACACTCAGGGTAGGTCTCAACCCTGGAGGCATGGCCCCCAGCTCCGCGCCAGGCCCAGGCAGCTCTGCTCCAGCTGTGAAAGGGTTACTATCCAGGAGAGCAGGCAGCGTTGAATACAGAGTCTGAGGAGAGAGGTGGAAATAAGTGATTGGACTACAACTCCCAGGAAGCTTCAGGGTAACAGAGCATGAAGATAATGGGGAGCGCTACCAAGGCCTTCTGGGAGTTGTAGTCCATTCTACAGTCAACGCCCAAAGGGACTCCATGAGCAAATCCCTACTTGATGGAAGGATATATAAGTTTCTTGACTATTTTAGATGACCTCTTGTGCATTGCCGGACTTGTAGTTCTCAGCAGAGGCAGCTCGAGGAGGACAGAGGATACTGGACAAAGAGTTCCCTTTCAGTCAAAGAATTATTCATCCCGAATTCCCGAAGGAAAGGAAAAAAAATGGACAGTCGGGAAGTGCACGTGGGGTGACAGCTTGCCAGTGGAAAGTGAGATCAGGTAAAGGACAGGAAATGAGGTCAGAAACAGAAGAAATAAACAACACTTGGCAGGAATGTACCGGAAGTGAAGGAAAGGGCCTCACAATCCAGGCTGCTAGAGGAATTGAGAGACTTGACAGTCATCTGTCCCAAAAGATCCTCATTTTTGCAGATAGGGCATCAGGCCCACCATAAGCCAGAAACCCTGAGAATGTCAAGCATTAGTGTTAAGGTCAAGGGTAGTGGTGGGGAAACTGGGGCAGAAAGCAAGCCCTTGCAGGAAGGGCACTCGGAGAAAAAGATCTGTGGCTCTGAAAGGGAAGTGAATTCCGAGCTATAGGAAGTGAGGTCAGCAAGCGAAGGAAGTGGGGGCTGATTAAAGAGGATCTTTAGTTTAAATCACAGTTCCCAGCACAATCTAATCACTATCTATCAATCATTTATCTATTATATATAAAACTTAGAAAGTGGGAGATTCAGAAGGTGGTAATAGTGATGTTACCAAGTAGTGAGGTCAGCCTGTCAAAAGTGGTGATCACTTTTATGTTATTTTACTTGAGACAGTGTCACTCTGTCACCCAGGGTGGAGGGTAATGGCACAGTCTCGGCTCACTGCAACCTCTGCCTCCCGGGTTCCAGCAATTGTCCTGCCTCAGCCTCCTGAGTAGCTGAGATTACAAGCACACACCACCACACCCTGCTAATTTTTGTATAAAAATACAGTATAGACAAGGTTTCACCATGTGGGTCAGGCTGGTCTCAAACTCCTGACCTCGTGATTCACCCGCCTCAGCCTCCCAAAGTTCTAGGATTACAGGTATTAGCCATCACACCTGGCTTTAATTTTTTTTTAAAGGAAGTTTTATCTCCCAGGCTGGAGTACAGTGGCATGATCTTGGCTCACTGCAACCTCTGCCTCCCAGGTTCAAGTGGCTCTTGTGCCTCAGCCTCTCCAATAGCTGGGATTATAGGCGCAAGCCACCATGCCTAATTTTGTATTTTTAGTAGAGTCGGGGTTTCACCATGTTGGCCAGGCTGGTCTCAAACTCCTAACCTCAAGTGATCCACCCGCCTGGACCTCCCAAAGTGCTGAGATTACAGATGTGAGCCTCGGCATTTGCCCGGGTGATGATTACAAAGACAGGAAAAGAAGCCGGAAAGGCAGGAAGTGATGTAACCTCAAACAAGCGGTGTCAGAACAGCAAAGTCTTTGGGTGAGATGGGATGTCATGTCAGAGAAGCAGAAAATCTTGAGTCAAATAGTGACATCAGAACCACACAAGGTAATTCAAACAGGAAGCGACATATATGTTAAATAGGAAGTGATGTTATGTCAAACAGGAAGTAAAAAGCAAGGCCAACCTTGGTGAGGTAGTAGACAGACTGCTGGAAGGTACACATGATGACCTCATCCAGGAGCGCCATGGCCTCATCACATAATTCCAAGTCATTGCAGAGCTGTGGATCTGAGCACAGGACTGGGGTTAAGAGGGAGAACCAGAGGCTGGCAGCCAGGATCCCAGGTCCCCAGGTGCAGGGGGTGATGGGAGACTTGCATAGGCCTGAGCCTGGGTCAGAGCTCACCCTCTTGGTCGGCCTCCTTCTCCATTTCCAGCACCTTCTCCTGCACAAAGCTCAGCAGCTCCGTGGTGTTGGCCATCCACAGCATGAGTGGCCGCAGCTCCACAGACACAACTTCAGGAGTCAGGGGCACCTCCGGGACCCCCTCAGGGTGGCTTGGAAAAAAGGAAGGAATTTGTCATCCCTGCACAACCCTCATCATAGTTTCCAAACCCCAAGATCTAGGTCTAAGTGGGAGACCAAGACCACCCCCCATTGCACAGCTGGAAAAGTTGAGTGCCAAGGAGAAGCCAGAAACTTGTACTAAGGCATGAATGGGGTGAACACAGAACTGGACACAAAACCCAACCCCTGCACCCCTCCAGACCTCTCTGCTTAGAATGCCTCTTACTTTTCTGGCTGGCGGTCTCCAATTTCCTTAATCTTTTCCTGTGGAACAGGAAGATCAGAATCAAAGTGAGGCAGATCCAGTGAGGGACTTATGAGTTAATAGGCTGGTTTTTCTTTTTTTTTTTTTGAGACGGAGTTTCGCTCTTGTTACGCAGGCTGGAGTGCAATGGCGCGATCTCGGCTCACCGCAACCTCCGCCTCCTGGGTTCAGGCAATTCTCCTGCCTCAGCCTCCTAAGTAGCTGGGATTACAGGCA